GAATTCGGTTTTGAACTCAACCAGTGAATGTAACGAAACCTTCCTTATTCATTGAACGGAAGAGAGGAAGTTTTAGCTACGAAAAACAGAATGATAAACGATTTTAAAACAAGGCTTATTGATATCTCATTTAACCCTCAACTTTAGGAAGAAGGCATATTTGTCAGTTTTTGCTGTTTGCAAGTTCACATAGTATCTCAAACTTGGATTACTGGATATAATGTATAATTACCCCCTCATTTATTTTATAAACGCATACTGCTAAATGCATATGAGTACTTAAATTTCAGGACCCCCTCAAGTATTTTAATATTACTCCTGATTTAAAAAAAACAACACTAAATTTCTCCATCTACTAAGACACGATTACTCAAAAAAGGTAAATTTCAACCAAGGCTCTGTGAGACTTATCATAGGTTTTGAAATAGTAGAGACTGAATTGATAAGATTTATTGTGCCATTCTAGGTACTCTTCAACTAATTCATTGAACAACTGTGTCTTTGGGGGGAGAGGTTGACTAGAATTTTAAACACATTTTTACAGCTTTATTGAGATATAATTGATGGATATAAGCCACATTTAAAATGCAAAATTTATGAGTTTTGACATATGTATACACTCATCAAACCATCACCATAATCAAGAAAATGAACATATATCACCTCCAAACGTTTCCTCCTGTCCTTGGTAATTAATTCCTTCCCCTCTAAGCAACTAGTGATATGCTTTGTCACCGCAGATGAATGTACATTTTCTAGAGTCGTATATGAATGGATATGGATGCTTTTGTTTGGCTTCTGTCACTCAGCAAAATGAATTTGAGATTCATCCATGTTGTGTTAATCAATAACAGCTTTTATGGCTGAGTAATAGTCCATTGTATGGCTAGCCCACAGCTTGTTTATTCATTCACCTGTTAATGGACATTTGGGTTTTTTTTTCCAGCTTTTGGTGATTATGAATGAAGTTGCTGTGAACAGTCATGTAAATATGCATTTTAGGATCGGCTTGGCAGTTTCTACAAAAGCCTGCTGGGAGTTCGGTTGGGGTTGTCTTCTGACCCATGAGCATGTTCTCTCCCTCCGTTTGTTTTCTGTCACTTCTCTCAGTGATGTTTTCCAGCTTTCAGTGTCCAGGCCTTGCACATCTTTTATCAAATTTCTCCATAAGTGCATCATATTTCTATAATGGTAATAGTGTAAATGACATTTTAAAAGTTTCATTTCAATTTTATTACTATTATATAGAAATACAAGGGTAATACAAGGTTGGACAAGTAAGTTCACGAACTCACCCTAGAAAAAATGCTATATACCTCACTGCTGAATATCACTACAGTCACCTTCGAAGTCCTCCCCTTGGGAAGTTATGCACCAACACCAGCGCCTAGTCCACCCTTCAAAGCAATTTTGGAACTGTTTTTCTGGAATGGCCATCAGGGCTGTCGTCGTATTACCCTTGATGTCCTGAATGTCATCAAAATGTCTTCCTTTCAATATTTTCTTTATCTTCAGGTAAAGAAAGAAGTGATTGGGGGCCAGATCAGGTGAGTAGGGAGAGTGTCCCAATACAGTTATTTGTTTACTGGCTAAAACTCCCTCATAGACAGTGCCGTGTGAGCTGGTGCATTGTTGTGATGCAAGAGCCATGAATTGTTGGCGAAAAGTTCAGGTCGTCTAACTTTTTCACACAGCCTTTTCAGCACTTTCAAATAGTAAACTTGGTTAACTGTTTGTCCAATTGGTACAAGTTCATAATGAATAATCCCTCTGATATAAAAAAAGTTAGCAACATTGTTGCAACAAGTTCGCGAACTTAATTGTCAGACTGCATATTCCATTGTATGTACCATCACCTGCACCACCCGCCTGGCCACGTCTGTCTGGCAGATGTTCCCTGCAGCATGTATTGCTGGCACCGCCGGGGTTCGGTGTCCTCTAAATATTCAGCTCCAGAGGAAAGGGACTGTGTGCCCATCATCTCTGTATCTCCAGGTTTTACCGCACAGGCCTGATTCTAATGCAAATGGTTGGATTTTGAACCAACTCTGTGGTAACTTGGGTTGTCAGAAAAGTCATGACGTATTTTTTGTTTTTCATTGCAAAAATGCATCATGACTTTTCTGACAACCCAACAGTTTGTTCGGTAACCAGCTAGTTATCCTCTAATGCAAGCTAAGCATCCTGTGTGGGCCTCTACTTCACCTGTGGAATGATGACAGTTTGCATGCACAGGGTGGGGGCAGGTTAAGTGAGTGCAGACAGATAGGGGCCTGGCACCTGGCACTCAGGACCTATGTCTCTAGACACAACCCCATAGCCTCCAGGGTCTCCGACTGGGGCCTTCAGACCCCTGGACATAGTGACAAGAAAGCCCCCTTGAGACAAGGTTGAAGCATGTTGTTACACCTTCAGATGCCCCGCAGGGCTCTCTTCCCTCTGCCTTTTGGGTCCTCCACGGAGCACTGAGCCAGGATGGGAGGGGGGCGCGAGTTTTAGGACAAAAAGCCTCTGGACTTCCCTCTGGGAACCGGCCATTCCCTCCTGTAGGTAAAATCGCGGGGCCCTCTCTGCTTCTGTAGCACACCTCCTATCCCCTTCTATCCGTCAGCACCGCCCTCCAAGTACTCCTTAGGAAGGGGTCCCCTCTGTCCCCTGGTGCCCAGCAGTTGCCACCTTTGTGCTGTCACCCACAGGAAGCTACTGGCAGCACGTGCTGGCTCCACCTACAGGCCACCCCAGGACACAACAACATGCTTGTTCCCAAAACCATGAGGAATTTGGCATGTGACAGTTAAGTGGGTTCTGGCTAGCAATGAACTGACTTCTTCACCTGATGAAACCCACTGTTTCCACTTAGGGTCTTGGGGACAGGAAACCACTTGTAGCAGGAAGACTGTTTTGTTACCCTTTTTAAGGCACGGCTGAGCCCTGGCAAAATTCCCTGGGGTGGGGGTGGGGTCGTCTACCTTTGACATCCACAAAATGCCACTGAGACAGGCAGCCACCAGACACGTGCACCTTTCGGATCCACTCAAACTAAGTTCCCCTCATGAGAAATCCCAACGGCCTCCCCACCCTGCTCTGTACAAGGTGTGGTCCAGGCGATGGCCCCCAATGGGCGATAAGCATCTTTTTCTTTACTCAGAGATTGCTATTATTAAAGATTTTATTGGGGAAGGGGAACAGCCAAGTTGTTGTCCTTCAATCTTAGTTGTGGAGGGCACAGCTAGCTCAGCTCTAAGTCCAGTTGCCACCCGACCACCCGTCAACAGCTTGCAGACGCTCAGCTCAAGGTGTCGTTGTTTAATCTTAGTTGCGGGGGCGAGGGGGGGGGCACAGCCCACCATCCAATGCTGGATTCGAACCGAAAACCTTGTTGCTAGGAGTGCACACTCTAACCACTGAGCCATCCGGCCACCTGTTCGCAGCTCAGCTGAGGCGCAGCTCACTGGCCCATGTGGGAATTGAACCGGTGGCCCTGTTGCTCAGAGCTCATGCTCTGAACCAACTGAGCCACTCAGCCAGCCCCACACAGATGATTATAACTGAAGGAACCAATAGGTAATGAAGAGGATGCACCCCCAGACATGCGCACTGACCCTTCTGTCCCCGTCAAGGGTCACTTCCCTTGGCCCTCACCTTGTCCCTTTCTGGACCCAAGTTCAGACGCCTGGAGTCCAGGTCCTAGTCCCAGCACTGTCTAGGTGACTTCTGGCACGTCACTGCCTCTCACGGCCTGTTTCTCGCTCTGTACAATGGGACCTTGTTTGGTTCTTAGAACTGGATGTCCTATGATGTGCCCACGGGGAACATGGGTGACAGTGCAGTGAACACAAGAGGTCTGCTGGGTGCAGCTCTCTGTACAGATCAGCCGTTTTCCAAGTGTGGTCCCTGGGCAACAGCATGTCCCGGGAACTTGTGAGAAAGACCAGTTCCCAAGCTCCTTCCCAGACCAACAGAATCGGACCAGTTCTTGTTCACAGCCCACCAGGTGACTCTGACTTGTGCGCCAGTCTGAGAACAGATGGCCCAGACTCGTAATTTCTGAGACCAGGTCTTTCTGAACCACCATGTGGGTTCAGCCTCTGCAGGCAGAACAGAACTTTGTAGAGGAAACGTGCTTCCCTTTAGAACCGACCCGCCCAGCTTCACAGACTTCCACGGGGGCTGTCCAATGCTCACACCAATTCCCCGTGGAGCCAACGTGACGCCGTTAGTGAGGCTGACAGGCAGATTTTATCTCTGTTTTATGAAAGAAGAAACCGAGGCTCAGAGAACCCACAGGAAGTGGCAGTCATTCGTCAAGCACCAACCATGGGCCAGACCTGCCATTACCTGCTAAAGACACAGACGACAGGTAGGGACGGTCGCAGCCCTTACAGGAGACGGACGAGAGCCTGGGGTGCCTGCTCCACAGCTGGCCTCCACCAGCCTGCAGAGTTCTAGGTTCTCGCCTGGACTCACTTCTACCCCAAGCCTACTGCTTTAGGCTGTTTTTTGTTTTTAAATGCAATTCTAGGGGTTTTGGCAATTACTTTAGATGGAGAAAAGTATTATGCAGTATTTGATATTAGCTAAACTAGAAGAAATAGCACTTGAGTTTTAATTATGTACTTTGCCTTATGAGTGACTTCCTGATGAAATCTTCTATCATGTGATCTAATATAACCGTATTTTTAAAGCATTTTAGCTTAAATATGCTTTCCCGTACATTCTATTATTGATCTCCCCAAAACTCTATGTAGAACTTACATGTCCTCATCTCCATTTTCCAAAAGGGAAAACGGAGGCGCAAAGGTCCCAAGTATAGAATCATCAATATAACGAGTATTTATTGAACACCAGGCTTGCGAGTGCCTAGATGTGACCCTCAGCTCCTACAGTAACCGAGATGTCTTCACTTCAGTGCCCCAGGACTCCTACGGCTAGAATGGCTCAGCGAGTGACTGCATGTGCTGTGTCACCAGACCTACTGAGGGGACGACAGGCCCACGGGGGAGCTGAGAGGACCCTGGGTGCAGGCAGTCTACATCACAGGTACGTTTATTCATGCCACGAAGGAAAGGGCACTCTATAAGCACATAGCGACGTCCACGGTGCCTCCAACAGAGCTTGCTGAAACTGACAGCTGGGCTGACGTTCCGACCGACGAGCACCCCAGGTAGGGCTGGTTAGTGATGGCCATGGGCGGGGGCAGGGCTCGAACCTTGAAAGAGAAGCGTAACATAGATCCAATGGAGGAACAAGCAGAGTGTAGCTTATCGTGTAACATCAACGAGTCCGAGTATAAACGACAGTTTTCAACAGTATGAAGGACTATGGAGGGTTATTTCTATACAGAAAGCCCTGTGTGTTTAACGGTCTGTGAAACCGATGTGTGAGCACGCAGCAGCAAAGATGGAGGGGCAGGGAAGTATCTCTTCCCCAAAGGTTAGGAGCCAGGCTTGGGTTTGTGCAGGACCCAAATGACCACGGCTTCACTGTCATGGGCAACAGTGAGGAACTGCCCAAACTAGGGCCTAACTTCACTGGCGCTTTCCCTCACATTCACCCATACCCACCCACTCCCACACTCTCTCACCCC